ACGCAAGCTGCCCTGCTCATAACACGGCGTCACATCATGACTATTCCTTGACCTAAAGCGGACCGCTGGCTCCAGGTCGGGCACACACGTTTGCACAGGCATTTAAATAAATAACGGAGGCATTGGTAGGAAGGGTGGCGAAAGCGTGAAAGACACCACTCCCTCGTCTTTCAACTTGGAGTGGTTTAAGGACAATTTAAACACACACAACCCACGACAGTGATCTTGCTGAGGTACTCTGCTGCTGACCCACAGCTGAAGGGATCAAATCCCGGCTGCGGTGGCTGCATTTTCGACGGAGGTGAAAATGCTTTACACCAGTGTGCTCAGATTTGGGTACAGGTTAAAGAACCCCAGGTGGTCGAAACTTCCGGAGCCTTCCACTACGGCGTGTCTCATAATAATTAGGTGGTTTTGGGACGTTAAACCCCACATATCAACCTTTAGGCACCCACAGCGCTCTGTAAGTGAGCTTCAATTCATTGCCACCTTGGCACTGTATCTTCTCCCTCGGAGAGATAACGTTTTTGTGCCGTTGGTGAAACCTTCGTTTGCATTTTCTGAACAAAACTTTTGCAAGTGAAGCCAAAGTGCCTTTTTCTTTTTATTTCTACGTTAAAAGGAATCATTTTGCTACCGCTTTTCTGGTTGACCATTTTTTACAGTCACTGATAACAACCTGCTTGAAAACTAATTTGCTATTTACTGGGATGCGCTCTAAAGATTCATGTAATATATGTGTATATGAAGTGTGTTAGTGACATTTTTGGTTTAATCGGTAGTGGGTTTTCTACGTGTAGGTTTGCGGTGGCATTGTTTATTATTCTCAGTCTTCGTATAGCTTGTGCAGTGAATTTTTCCATTATAACAGGAAAATTGTTTTGTTCAGTAGGCGTCCCGACTTTTCCTTTACCGCGCAAAAATGGTTACTTTTCATTGGTTTCGTAAAAGTAGTTTTTGCCAGTCCGCCACGCATTCCAGCACCCGAGATTTCGCAAAATGCAATGCTCTTTCCACGAATTCTGTTGCAGAGCAACAAAAATATTTTGAAATCAATAAACTTGCGAGAAGAGTATTATTTCTGGTTGCCACCTGCTAAACTGTGCAATAAAACACTACATATACAAAATTATTCAAACAAAAGAGCATTTTGACTATAAACTCTGAAGATAAATGACCTATATTCCAGCATAAAATAATAAATGTTGTGCAAACTGTTTCTTTTCACATAGACAAAAACAATTGAAACTGAGGTTCTGCTTCAATGTTCGTGCCTTGCGGCGAAGCATTGCTACATTTTTTGAGAAACAAATGAACTACACTTCTCTCAGTAAACTTTCTTTTTTTTGCGATGAGAAACTGCGGGTGATCCAATTCATTCATTCTTTCATTGGGTTCCCTACAGGCTCCAAAAAGAGGTATTACATAAAAGATGGGTTTACGAAAAATAGAAAGAGAAAAAAATGTGGTGACAGAAATGCAGACACTTCAGTGAACTCAGATAAGCAGGTGATATTAGCGATGTCGTAGGGAAGACCATTCTAATCTACAGCTACACGAGAGGGAAAAAAGATGAAAAAGTGACAGTGCGCACTTTGTGGTGAGCAATATTCAAAGAGTGACCAGTGCGATGTGATACTCGTGCTGGCGGCGGGATGTATAATGCGATGGCAAGGGCACTGTAGAAAAAAATTCCGTGAAATACTGTTAAGCTAGAAATGCGACGTCGGTACGAAAGCGAAGACATGTGGGAGGCTGTTTTTAACGATGATATGCTGATGTCGTATCAATATGCGAATGAATGAATCTAGCAGCACAATTTTTAAAGAGTTCAAGGGCATTGGCAAGGTATGCTTCGTGTGGACAGCAGATTGAAGAAGCGTATTCAAGTTTGGGCCTGATGAACGATGTGTATGCTAAAGGTTTTACGGGGGGGGGGGGGGGGCGATGAGGCTTTCATTAGGTGACGTTCAAAAAAACCGAGCTTTTTGTTAGCAGATGCTGTGACGCTGTTAATACGTGAACACCGATCAAGTTCGCTGGATATAGTGAAGCCTATATATATGCCCCAGTAGACTTAAGTCACATATTTAGGCCCTGCCCTAAACACCGTCTTCCCCGTTTCGCGAAACGCTGATTTCTAGTGAAAAGCAGAGCGAGGCTACCATCCGCAGCTCTGGGTCCGACCTTCAGCAGGCCATCTTGAAGTTGGCTGAGAGGGTAGTGGAGAACTACTTAATGTAGTTCCTCCCCAGCACAATCTGTCGTATTGCCCCCTTCCTTTTATCAAGGGATAACTCAAGTTCGTTCATTCATCCTTCAAGTATTGCTGCGATAGCATGTATATGGGCACTCTCGGCTGGATTCTGCATCCAGCGTGGACGTCAGCGTTGATGTAATGCACCGTATATCTATCATCATCATCATCCTGACTGCTTCCACTGCAGGACGAAGGCCTCTCCCATGTTCCGCAGTTAACTCGGTCCTGTGCTTGCTGCTTCCAATTCATACCCGCAAACTTTTTAATCTCATCTACCCACCTAACCCTCTCTCTCTCCCCCCCTAACCCACTTGCTTCTCTGGGAATTCAGGTAATTACCCTTAATGACAGCGGTTATCCTGTCTACGTGATGCATGCCCGGCCCATGTCCATTTCCCTTTCTTGAGTTCAACTATGTATACATATATGTATTTGTATACATATCTTTACATACGAAAAGGGAAAAAATCCAGCGGCATGCAGAATCTAACGTTGGACCTCTGCGTCGTGAAAGCAAGGCGTTAACTACTGAGCCACCCCGGAGCACATCGTTCACCGTTCGAACGGCAAGCTATTTATATCTACCACTTACCGCAGCTCACGAGCATCTTGGGGGGAATCGTGTTTTTATCAATACCAGCAAGATGGCGCAGTGAGCGCGCGTCACGACATCGCGAGGTGGCATCCGCTCTAATCTCCTACGCGCCCTTTGCCTGGCTTAGAGAAGGGTAGTGACGCCCCCTCGTGGGCCTTTATCTCGCGGTGGCGAGGAGTGGAAGATAGTACGCCTTGGCTGGCTTCCGGCCTTACCTGGAACGATTTTGCTGCACTTACCGGGTGCACAATAGGTCACTGCAATCATTGCAGTCTCTGTTTTTCATAAGCGCGCTATTTTCTGACGCAGCAAATTAACAAATGAGACACTTATTCGCGTGCATCCGTACCTATGAGTACGTTTCATGTGTCGTTTGTGCGTGTTAAACGCGGGGCCCGTTTCGATCTGATTTCTATTCGGCGCGTAACTTTTCAATTTGTTGCTACCTTGTTCATTGCTTCGCCTTTCCGTCAAAGCTGTGACTTTGTTTGCTTTAGGCCCTAATTGCACTTATTGAACAACGTAGCCTAGTACTCAACAACCTATCTTGTTATTTTTTACCTCGTTACCTTAATAGTGCCTATATAACCCTTGTAGAGAGTACAGAAACATGCAAAAAACGTGAGGTAAGGGCAAGGTTGTTTTGTGAATAGGTACATTATTCTGAATAGCTGGTGTGGCTTCATAATGACTACATGCCACGGTGGCCTAATGGTCAGGGTATGCAACTGCTGATACGCAGGTCACGAGATTGAATCCCGGTAGCTGCGGCCACATTTTCTATGTGGCAAAATGCTTTAGACCTGTGCACGTAGGCTTAGGTGCTGTTATAGAGCCACTGGTGCTTGAACATTATTTAACACAGCACGCGAGAAAGGGGACATAAGAGAAGGGACAAAGCGCCGTGCGGACTCGCTACTAAATATTCATTGGAAAACAAAAAAGAAAAAGAGCCAAAATCACCTCAGCCTTCCTACCCGTGTGACCCTTTAGAGCAAGAAAACAGTAGGTCAGCTGACATCTAGAAAAAAAAAACTTTGATACACCGCACGTGTACTCTCCAATGACAGAGAAATTAAGATATCGTGCTATCTAAGAACCTGACTTCGCTATCAAGTAGGGCTATGGAAGGTGCGCTAATGCATTGTTCACTCCTCTTTTTTATATATTATGCTTCACTTGTTTATGTGATTTGATCTCTGCGTGTTGAGAGAACCTAAGCTTCATAAAAAATAGAAGCCCAGTCGCATGGCAGAACATGTTCAGACACATGTGGCTATGCATTCCCTTGCAAAGAATGCCTGTGTCTCAATAATCTAATGTTAAAGCACCTACTTGTTTGGCCTATGTATACGCTACCACAAAAAATGGCAACAGATGCACGATATATTTTCTACAGTGTACAAAAGAAGTCACTGTCTGACTCCGCATCATTCTTTAGACACTTCTGACTCGTGCTTTTCAAGTTTCCGCTCAATAACCCCGCAATTCTTATTCAACCTATAAGGCGGCGAAAAAAATACTTACTCCGAACCGGCTAGCAATATTCTTTAATTTGTGGGATAATCTGTGTATGTATGGAAGTACTACTAAGTATTTGCTATATATACTATGGCCGAAGTATTGTTTTTCTTTTTCGTTTTTGTTTTCCAATAATTATTCAGATGCGAGTGAGCTCTGCGTTTTGTCCCTTCTTCCCTTGTGTCCGCGTAATCATGCGCTGTGTTGAAATATGTTCAAATACTGACATCAACTGGCCCAGCTTTCATTCCGTCTACACTAACCCCTGATGTTCAACATTTTCTAGACCATCGTTGTACTACGGTATCTCTCATAATCATATCCTAGTTTGAGACCTTGAACATAAAAAATTATTGCTAATATTGTTATCCTTAATGACAGCTTGCCGGCTTAAAAGTAGATGAAGCTTCTGGCCCTGATGCAAACAATTTTATATGCTTCTACCTAAAAGAAGGTTTTAAATTCTGCACACTAGTAGCACATTGTGTCACGCTATATCTGCTGATTTAGGAAGAAGACACCGTGAGCCACTGTGAGGGTGCACAGGATTGTTTTCTTACAATATTATCAGCTTTTTGTGTTTTCGGGCCCATCATAACTGAGATTTTCATCGACATATCACAGGCTTGTCAAACAACCGGCCTTCAAATGCCACTTAGTGCACCGACCCATGCAGAGATATACCCGGTGCCACGAAATGGGAACCAAGAACGTCACCAGAGCATCACAGCAGAGACTCGGAGCACAAATGCACAAAGTGAGCATTTTGTTTCCGCATCCACAGTATATTTTCATCAGAGTACAGGAAAAGCAAGCACCACGAATTTACAGTTAAATCTCCCCTGGAAATTTGTGTGCTTGCCCATGGGCACATGATTTGAAACCCCAGGTAGTCATAAGTCTAGCCTGCCTCAATAAGGCCTCGACATCAAATATTATTGCTAATTTTGGCCGTGAAGCTAGTTGAAGTTTACTTACAGTGAGAATCACTATCTAAAATTCTTCCAATTTATTTTGCACACGCCATCTTTTTATGGAAGTCTCTTCGCAAATGAACGTGTTGTAGAACCATGTTCGCACCGCTCTACTTCCATTGCCTTGGCCTCAGGAACGCAACCACCTCCTCGGGACCCCGCGAACCAAGAGAAAGCTCACTCAAGTGCAGCTCTCTTCCTTTCCAACTTCAGGGCTACCCTAAGTATTACGTCGATACGGTACGTTCCGATTTTATATTGCTCTGTTATTTTGGATTAACACTGTTCAGTAAATGCTTAATACCTACTTCCATAACACGTTTCTTATTTATTTATTTATTTATTTATTTATTTATTCGTTTTTATTATTTATTTATTTATTTATTTATTTATTCATCCATTATTCCATCATGATGGTCTAGTGGCCTATAGACACTCGACTGCTGACACGCAGGTCGCGTGATCGAATTTCGGTCAAGGCGGCCGCAATTTTGATAATGGTGAGAATGGCTTGAGGCCCGTGTGCTTAGATATATTAGCACGTTAAAGAACCCCATTTAGTCAGAATTTCCGGAGCCCTCCACTACGGTGTCCCTTATAATCATATGGTGGTTTCAGGATGTTAAACGTCAACTGTTGATATGATTTACTCAACAATACTGCAGATCCCATTCGAGATCTTTGCAGGAGGAGCCCATAAAAGGTAGCACAATAGAGTTATAAAAAAGAGAGCAAAGAAAAAAATTCTAGCTGAGGAAACTGGAGTCTCACTTGAACACAGTTTAATGGCTTCTGTAGCATATCCGCCACCGTGGCAATGGCATACTATAGACTGCGATGTATCCTTCCTAGAAGTTACAAAACATGCGCCTATTGCCCATATCCGAACATACTTCCTGGAAATTCAACACAAATACACACGTCCTGAGTTCTTTACAGATGCCTCCAAGTCCAACTCCTCTGTGTCCTTTGCTGCTCTCGGCCCATCCTTTTCGGATGCTGGCCCTCTACATCCAGGCACAAGTATCTTCACAGCGGAAGCTTACGCGATACTTGTGACAGCTAAACACATCAAACAATTACAAATACAAAAAGCAGTAATTTATACAGACTCCCTCAGTGTGATAACGGCTCTGCCCAGTCTTAAAAAACAAAAAAACACGGTCCTTGTCTCGCTTTACTTCATTGTGTGCACACTCTACACACTCAAACAACATGTTGTGTGCTGGGTGCCAGGGCACCGTGAGATCCAAGGCAACGTGAGGGCGGATCAGCTCGCTGCATCCGTCCACAAAAGCACTGCCCCTACACCCATATTAATCCCGGCCCTTGATCTCAAGCCGTCTCTCAAACGAAACCTCAGGGACTACTGGCAGAGCAAGTGGGATACACACACACAAAACAAACTACACATTATTAAGCCACACCTTGGTCATTGGCTGCCAGTATCAAAATCGCGTCATACAGAGGTAATACTAACGAGGCTCAGGATAGGACACACATACACGACACACTCATATCATTTGTCCGGTGGCGATCCACCATTGTGTGACAGATGTGGTGAAGCACTAACAGTTCTTCACATTTTAATTCAGTGCAAACAATTGGACACTCTAAGAAAACAACACTTTCCATTACCCTACCACAACATATACCTTTTCATCCTGCAATGTTCGTTGGTAGGGAACCGCTTTTTAGTTATAAATCATTGTTAGCGTTTTTAAATGAAATTCTTAATTTTCATATCATATACCCGGGCATTCCGTAGCACGACCTCTCCAGAGAGGTTTTCGCTGCGGTGGCTACACAACAAAGCACTTGTCTCACGGCCCGTGGCCGCAAGGGTTTGAACAAGTGAGGCACTTTTGCTAATGCCATACATGTCCACCATCGTTTTTATTATCACAAACTTTTTTCATCTATTCGCACCACACACACCATTCACGGCATGGTCATGATTTTATTACTTGTATGTTTTTACCCGCCTTACCGCGAGGAATTTTATGACCCTTATACAGCCGCTAATCAAAATCATTGTCCACATTCCTTGTCCCATGAACTGGCGCTCTTTGCCCATCAAATGGCCCTTGCGCCAAAAAACACCATACATCATCATCATCATCATTTCTGCAAGCTTGACTGCACTGACATGAGTGCAGTGTCGCTAGACTTGTTCTTGAGGACGGCAGCATGCCTGCTGCTGAGGAATTATGTTTCACTAAACGCTTGAATATGGGTAAATTTCAGCTTAATACCCAAGCGTTCCAATAATGCTCAATCAGTGTCCGCATTTTAAGCAGCCCATTGTTAGTTCAGATGCATGAGGGTGAACAACGACCAACAAAAATAGAGCTCCGCGGAACATGCTTGCCGCCTTGCACACGTACGACAAAATACGGAGTCACATCTTGCAATTCCGAAAGAAACGTTTTTATCGTGCAGCAAGATGTTTACCCACTAACCACCCACGCTGGGCTGCCTACAAATCTGCATCATCCATCTACATATCTGCACTAAAATCCGCTAAAGACAACTTCCTCACTCAAGTCCTGCCGTCTATGTTACAAACAAATGCAAAAAAATTCTGGCGAGTTATTAACCCCCTATCTGACAATCATATTTCCTTGATCGATTCATCCGGTAACGAAACTAGTGAAGCCCTTTGCGCTTCTGTTCTCAACGATTCTTTTATCCAAAACTTCTCCGTAGATAGCCATAATGATTTACCTAGCGCAACCTTGCACAATTATTCACCCATGTCATCCGTGATTATCGAAACTCTTGGAGTTGTACGTCTCATTGAATCACTTAAGAACGATTCATCTCCTGGTTATGATGGTATTAACACAAAATTTTTAAAAAATACTAGCGCTTATAGTTCCATTATAGTTACTAAAATTTTTCAACAGTCACTAGATACTTCTACTATTCCTAGTCAATGGAAAATCGGAAAAGTCGTTCCACTCCATAAATCTGGTAATAAACACTCTTCGAATAATTATCGTCCCATTTCTTTAACCAGTATTTGTTGTAAAATGCTCGAGCATATAATATTTACAAACATAGTCAATTTTTTAGAATCAAATTCATTTTTCACGTCAGCACAACATGGCTTCCGTAAAACATATTCATGTGAAACACAGCTAATATCATTCACTCATCACTTACATCAGATCCTTGATAAATCATCCCATGCTGACTGTATTTTTTTAGATTTTTCAAAAGCTTTTGACAAGGTTTGCCATAGACTTCTACTTTACAAACTACACCAACTAAACCTTGACGGTAACCTACTAATGTGGATTGAATGCTTTCTCACTAACAGATCACAATTCGTTACTGCCAACTGTCATAATTCTCCATTTCGCGAAGTTCATTCTGGCGTTCCGCAAGGGTCCGTCTTAGGTCCCTTGTTGTTTCTCATTTATATTAATGACCTGTCATCAGTTGTATCATCAAAAATTCATCTATTTGCTGACGACTGTGTTATTTTTCGAGAAATTACTACCGATAATGACATTAATATATTGCAGTCTGACCTTAACGCTATATCTAACTGGTGTGATAAATGGCTAATGGACCTAAACATTAAAAAGTGTAAAATCATGCGTGTATCAAGAAGTTGCACTACTTCACCTATTTACTATCTTAATAACATTCCTTTGGATTCTGTTAACTCTTATAAGTATCTTGGAGTTCACATAACAACTAACCTCAACTGGACAACTCATATTGAATACATCATTATCAATGCTAACCGCATGCTTGGCTATTTACGACGTAACTTTTTTAACGCTCCACATGGTTTAAAACTGCTACTTTATAAAACACTAATACGCTCTAAACTAGAATATGCTACAACCGTGTGGGACCCTACCTATAATAACCTGGTAACTTCCCTTGAACTTGTTCAGAATAACTCCGTTCGTTTTATATTGTCCAATTATAACAGAACCGCTAGCATTTCAACCATGAAAACTTCACTTGCACTTCCTTCCTTAGCATCTCGCAGAAAAGTCTCCCGTCTAACTCTATTTCACAAGATCTACCATCATCCCATCTTGCATGCCCAACTACTACTTCGCCCACAGCACATTTCCCACCGCATTGACCACCATCACAAAGTAGGCATCCCTTCATGCAACACAAAAACTTTTTTCAATTCTTTTTTGCCTCGCACATCAAAGGAGTGGAACAGACTTCCCGGTGACATTGTTGCTATTACTGATAACAATTTGTTCCGTGATGCTTTAGCTAACATTGTGTAATAAGTTCTTTTTTTTTGTGTTTTGTTGCAACAGCTAACATTGTATATTTAGGCTTGTTGTTGTATTACCTAACATGTATTATTATACAGCATATTAACAAACATTGTGCTCTTCCAAATTTATTTGTACGATTTAACCGTATTCACTGCTTTTTTTGTTAAATTCAATATTTTATTGTAAATAACCCACCCCCCTCTGTAATGCCATTTGGCCCTGAGGGTAAAATAAATAAATAAATAAATAAATAAATAAATAAATAAATAAATAAATAACTTGTTTCCTTGCCCATCTTTTAAAACAGTCACAAAATCTTCATTAGCACAAGACAAGTGACCGTGACATTGCTTTAAGGGAAAAATTCAACAGCGTTGAACAGCTCATGACGAAGAGTGAATGCTGAATTTCATCAATCGGATCTTACCGTCTTGTTATGTTGTGCTGTTGGTTGTTCGCTTCGATAGTTAATAATTTTTTTTGCTTCTAAAGACGAAGGTTTATAAATAAAAGAAATCATTCAAGAATGGGATGTTCTTTCTACACACTTCAAAAGATGTCATCAAACGAGTAATTTGCTGCTTACATTGTACCAGAAAAAAAAAAGCAATGCGTCTACTTTTCCATCTGCGAAAGCATATAAAAGAGTATTCTACAGTGTGTGTGTTTGTATAGGAGTGCAAATGAAAAACAATCGCTGCAGCTACATTGCAGTGTTTATTATTATTATTATTATTCGATGCGGCTTCATTTTTCAAAACCACTGTATGATTGAGAGACACCGTAATGGGAGGCTCGGGAAGTTTAGAACACATGCGTTTTTAAGCCGCTCCTACTTGTAAGCACGCTGGCGTCAGCCAGTTTTTCTCCATCACAATGAAGCCGCCTCGCTCAAAGCTGTAGGATTTTTATATAGAGCAGCCCCATTTAAAGGTCCTGGATCACTTCTACAAGTAATCGTTGAATCAGTTCACAACT